ACACACACACACACACACACACACACACACACACACACACACACACACACGCGCGCGCACGCGCGCACACACACACACTCTGCCGGACACTTTGCGCAATCCCCCCTCTTCCCCACTCAGCCCCTGCCCCACGCGTCACCCCCCCCCCTCCTCACCGGCACCACGGGTGTGCTGAGGCAGGTGGACCACGAGAATGTGCGCTGAATGGTGAAGGTCGTGCCCGCGGGCCAGCAGGACGTCCAGTAGATCTGTTGAGTGGCGGTTGGTGATGGCGGTTGGGGGCGGTTGGGGCCGGTGGGGGCAGGTGGTTGCGGACGGTTGGGGGCGGGTGAAGGTGGTGGCTGGTGACGGTGGTGGGTTGGGGCGGTCGGTTGGGGCCCTTGGGGGTCATCAACGCGAATTCAGGCGGCTTAGGGAGCACATAGGGGAGGGTTGGGGGGAGTTGACTACAGTTGTACGGGGGCCCACGAGCTTGCAGGTGCGAATGAGTGCGAATCAAAGAGCCGATGCCTGAGCATGTAGCCCGGCACGGATCCACCCGCGAACCCAGTGAATGGCGCGGCCCGGCCCTGCTCCCCAAAACACAAGCCCACCTGGTTCTCCCGCGGCAGATTGACCGCGTAGAGCTGCAGCCGCTTGGGGGCGCTGTAGCCGCCCGCGCTGGGGTTGTACACGACATACCTGTTTTTTTTTTGGGGGGGGGGAAGGGGGCAGTGCGTTTGTGTCCAGATGGGTGGTGCCACGGGTGGCAGAGATTCAAGAGGGGAAGCAGGCCCCCCCAAACAAATTGTAGGCCCAAGAGTCGCGTCTAGTTGTGAGACGTGGCTGTCAGGCGGGGGTGGCAGGTCAGATCCTATCGAACGAAGTGCCCGAGGGGCCGAGGGCCAGGATTGATGCCACGCAATGTCCGTTGCCAGCAACTGCCACGCGCGAGGGGCGGCGCGCCGGGCGGGCGTGCAGCGGAGGGTTGGGGTGCTGGGGGTAAGGGGGGGCCGGTGAGGAGCGTGCGCGCGCGCGCGCGTGCGGCGCACCATCCGCTGCCGCCCGCGACGCCGGTGGTGCCCTCGGTCTTGGTGATGAGCATGGAGCGGTCTACGCCGGCAAAGTTTGAAACGTACCCGATGCGGGTGGTGTCCATAGTGGCCCACTCATACCTGTGGTCAGTAGGGTTCAGGATTCAGGGTTTAGGGTGTAGGTCTATTATGGTGTGTTTGGGTGGGTTGTGGCCTTCGGAGTGCTGGTCAGGCGCGTGGCCTGTGCCCCACGGTCCCGCGCGCGCGTTGCCGTTAGGGTGGGGGCGGCAATCTTCGCGGGCAACCGTCTCATGCACGATGCACGGGCGCGGCGCCAGCCGCGCCTGCGCCGCGCTGTGGCCCTGCGCTGCAGGACGGCCCAATTACGTGCGCACGAGGGGCCGGGCTGCGGCGCTGCTTTGCCGGAATACACTTGCAGGCGGGCGGCGGGGTTGGTGGCTGTTATCATATATATGCGCGACTCACGGGATGGTGAAGAAGGACTGGGCGTTTGCTGACGTCACCCTCATGTCCAGGCGGGACACGTTGCGCCCCGGGACGATGGGGCACACCCAAATGCCGCTCAGCAGGTTCTGCGGCGGCCCGTGAGGGAGTCATTCGTCGGTCAATCGGTCAAACAAATGAACAACTGTTCGACCAAAACGTTGGACCGGCCGCGGTCGTCATGAAGTAGCGCTTCTGGTGTGTGTGCGACGCTGCTCCATCATCCAGGGCCGGCCCCTAGGGCAGGCTGGTCCCTACACCGCGCCCCACCCGTCCACACCTGCTGTGTGTGACGCTGGGCAATATACTAAGGGCCTGACGCCCCCCTCCCCTGACCCCACCCACCCACCCACCCAACCACCATTCCCTTTCCTGGCCGCACCCTCCCGCCCCCTCTTCTGCCACAGAACTCAGGGCAAGGACTAGGGGAGTGTGTGGCAGGAGAGGGGAAACCCAGTGTCCCCCCTGCCCCCCCACACACACACACACACACAGACACACGCGCGCACCTCGCGCCAGCAGTTGGCGTCCACGTTCCACCAATCCACCCATGAGCCGATCAAGTAGCGCCCCGCGGGCCTGGAGGGGTCGACTGAGCGCACCACGCTCCCGTCGTTGTCTGGGAGAGGTTGGGGCAGAGAGGCAGGGCAGCGAGCGGAGATGGAGGAAGGGGGGGAGAGAGGGACAGCAGCCGAGAGGGGGTTTTGCGGGATACTCGCCTCGGACCCCGATTGCTGCGGAGGGGATCGGTGGTGACCACCCACACAACCAAGCATATGCAGACATCGGCAACCCCACCTCTCCTAGCCCCATTCCCACTCACAAGCACACGCAGACGCACATGCAGACGCACATGCACGCGTACATGCGCAATGCAGCAGGCGCAGTACACAATAACACCCACCCTCCCAATTGAACTGCCATGAGGCGCCGGTGTGCTGCCGATCCACCCTGAAGTACGAGTTGCCCACACAGCCGGCGGCGGTACAGATCCCCAGGTCAGACCCGATGATCTTGATCTGCTTCGTCGCCATCATGGTCTTGTCTGTGGGACGGGGTTTTGTGCGACGGGCAAGATTGTTCAGGGCCGGTCGTTGACAGCTTTGAGCTGCACCCATGACTGAGAATTCACGGTGATTGTGTGAAAAGTTGGCGGCACACTGAGTCCTTTTGGCTCATGTCGGACGGAAGGGTTGGGTGGGGGCATGGGACGACTGCCAGGCCCTTGCCGGTCAGTCAGCCCGTTTGCCGCACAGCCGAGTTTGGCAGTGAGTCATAGTCGTTGAAGCAGATGCAGAAAAAGGGGGCCCGGGCCCCGAGCCCCTGCCCGGGCGCCGGGTGCCCCTCGCGGCGTTTGACGGCAGCCGGCGCGCGCGTGTTGGCGTCGCCGCACACTCGGGCGACCGACGGCCGACGTTGGGGGCTGAGCGCCACCCCTCGGAACCCGGCGGCGGCCCGAGCTGCTCAGGAGGGGGACAGACGCCGACGGGGCGGCGCGTCAGGCGTCGGCGGCCGGGGGCTGCCCCAGCAGGCGCCCGAGCAGGCGGCGCCCCGCGACCCACCCGGCTTGTAGACGTCAGAGTGTGAGAGCATCCTGAAGGCGGCGGTGGTCTGGTTGAACCACCAGTCGTTGGGGTCACTGGTAACAGGGGCAGCAGGGGGGGTAAGGGGGGAGGTGGGGGTAACCAAGGGCCGTGCCAGCACGTTCAGGGAGGATGATTTCAGGACTCACGGCCATCACCTCCGCACCGCCCTCGCGCCGCTCTGCTGCAGGCAAGCGGCACTGCGCCGATGCACCAGTGCCCCCCTCATTCCCTCGAGTGACGGTACAGCTGGTGCTGACCGGTGGAAGGGGCGGAACCAGGGGTGAAAAAATGCGGAATGCAATGTGAAGGAGGCGTCCTCACCTGGAGGTGGGCCTCCACTTGTAGTTGATGAAAGTGAGGTTTGACACGATGGTGGTGGTGAAGGTGTCGTACCTGAGAAGGGTGGACGGGTGGGTGGAGACAAGGGAGTGGGTACGTTGGTGAGGGTGTGGGGGGGTGTGTGGGGGGTTGTAGGTGGGTGAGTGGTGTTTGCGCGGGTGGGGAGTTCAGGGGTGAGAACCTGGTGGTGCTGGATTAGTGTCGAAATGCACCGCAAAAGTGCGCACATGCAGCGGGGAGTGGCGTCGGTTTGTGCCAAATGGAACGTGCAGATGGGAGGGGCGAT